ACTGGATTAACATAGACACAGCATCTTCAGAAATTCCACACTAAACAGTACAATGAATATTAACTTGTATATTTCAAGTTTAAAATTATTTGGGGTATAAATGATGCTAGTAAACATTTGAAAGCTAGTTTTACTGTTTGCTTTTATGTTCACATAATGAACTACCATCCTTACTACACGTCTCTGCATGAGGCAGTAACATGGAACTCAGCCACAGGCTTTGGTGAGGTGATCACGTTGAGAAGGGGTATCTATTCACACATGGACTAGCCTTCAAGTAGGCTCTGGACTATCATCCAGGCTGGTCAGTAAGGACAGCTTAGGGGCCCCATCTGGATGCTCTGGCAGCTCTCTACAAACAAGGAAATAAGAGACTACATATGAAGCGATGTATTAATGGACACAAATGCGCAGGAAGCTATGGGGGGAAAAAAAACAGATAGGAGAATCAGTCTTTGCCTCATTTTATAAGTGCATTTGAGATTACAGAATACAATTAGGGTGTTTCTGACTCAAAAGTATTACTAACTGGTAACAAAATGGGAAGTTCAGAGATAGAACTGAGGTTAAATGAGGGTTTTAAATGACATAATTAGTGTTAAAATGTATCATGAATGTGATTTTTGAACAGTAAGTATTTGGTATTCACTACACACCCTTCTCACAAAAAAACCTTGGTGTTGAGCTGGGGACTCTCATGGGCAGGTGATTGAAATAAAAGTGATTATAATTTAGTGAAAACATAGAAGCCATATGTGAGCTAAATGTGAGAACACTTAGATCAGCGGTTCTCAACCTGTGGGTCTCGACCCCTTTGGGGGTCGAATGACCCTTTCAAAGGGGTCGCCTAAGACCACCGGGAAACACATATATAATTACATATTGTTTTTGAGATTAATCACTATGCTTTAATTATGTTCAATTTGTAACAATGAAATTGGGGTCACCACAACATGAGGAACTGTATTAAAGGGTGGTGGCATTAGGAAGGTTGAGAACCAATGACTTAGATAAAAACATAGGGTTAAATGTTCATGACCTCAGATTTTACAGTAAAGTTTGAGATATGACACCAAAACAAAAAAAGAGGTTAAATAAATTAGTCATCATCAAAATGTATGCTCTGTGAATTCAAGGACTCTATGACATCACGCAAAATACAGTCTATAGGATGGGAAAAAGATTGTAAGTCACAGATCTTGAAGCATCTGTATCCCTGTTTCCCCAAGTCTTCCTACAAATCAACAACCAAAATACAGAAATCCCAGGAGGAAAAATCAATCTCTGCCTCCATGTCCCCCAATATTTGCTTTATATACTCAGGTCCTCCTACTTACACTATATACAGGAATAAATTCAAAATGGATAAAAGACTTAAATGTAAGTCATGAAATCATAAAAACCTTAAAAGAAACCATAGGCAACAAAATCTCAGATATCTCTCATAGCAATATGTTTATGGATACATCTCCTAAGGCAAAGGAAACTAAGGAAAAATTAACAAATGGGACTACATCACAATAAAAGGCTTCTGCACAGCAAAAGAAACCATCAATAAAATAAAAAGAAGCCCACTCTATGGAGAATATATTTGGCAATGATATATTTGATAAAGGGTTAATATCCAAAATATTTAAGGAACTCATACACCTTAACAAAAGGAAGATAAACAATCCAATTAAAAAATGGGCAAAGGGGCCTAGAGACACTTCTCCAAAGCAGACATACAGATGGCCAAGAGACATATGAAAAAATGCTGAAAGTCACTGATCATCAGAGAGATGCAAATTAAAACAACAATAAGGTATTACCTCACAACTGTCAGAGTGGCTACCATCAACAAATCAACAAACAACAAATGTTGGCAAGGTTGTGGAGAAAAGGGAATCCTAGTACATTGCTGGTGGGAATGCAGACTGGTGCAGCCATTACGGAAAACAGTATGGAGTTTCCTCAAAAAATTAAAAATATAACTACCATTTGGGCCAGTGATCCCACTTCTAGGAATATATCCTAAGAAACCCAAAATATTCATCAGAAAGAATAGATACATCCCTATGTTCACAGCAGCACAATGTACAGCAGCTAAGATTTGGAAACAGCCTAAGTGCACATCAGCAGATGAGTGGATAAAACGACTGTGGTGCATTTACACCATGGAATACTATGCAGCAATAAAAAAGAACTCTTACCATTTGTACCAGCATGGATGGACCTGGAGAGTATTATGCTAAGTGAAATAAGCTAATCAGAGAAAGATAAATATCACAGGATCTCACTCATATGTGGAATCTAATGAGCCAAATAAAGTGATGAACAAAAATAGAGCCAGAGACACAAAAGCATGAACCAGTGATGGCGAACCTATGACATGCATGTCAGAGGTGACATGCGGACTCATTTTTTTGGGGTTGATTTTTCTTTGTTAAATGGCATTTAAATATATAAAATAAATATCAAAAGTATAAGTCTTTGTTTTACTATGGTTGCAAGTATCAAAAAATGTCTATATGTGACAGGGCATCAGAGTTAAGTTAGGGTTTTTCAAAATGCTTCTTAGTTATGGGGTGGGGCCACAATATTAGTAACAAAGAAACAGAGTTTCTGGAGGATGAGGCCCAGAAATCAGGATTTTAAGAAGATTCCCAGGTGATTCTAATGTGCAGCCAAGGTTGAGAACCACTGAAGTCTGTTCCCAGCAGTGAACATCTGAGCCTCAACCCATCTACTGTACAGGGTCTGCAAAGCTCCAGTCCCGTAAGTCTCCACAGGCATACACTAGCCTTTCCCAAAACAAACATAAAAAACAAAGCACCTGACTTCAAGTAAAATCTGAAATCTGAACCTGAAACTCCCATTCATTATCACCCCCACGGCCCAGGCCTCTGATATCTGAACTCCACTAAATCGCAATTCCGTCAAAGACACCGCGTTCCCTGATACTCACCTACCACTCCAATTCTTTTTCTTTTTCCAAACACTCAATAACTGTATTTGCATTGGTCGGTTTCTCAGGTAGGGGTGGGGAGGGAGGGGGTAGGGGGAAAGCAAGGGGAAAGAGGAGGGCTGGCAGCAGCCTGGGCTTCATGCGCCCTCTGGTGGACCTCAGAGGCCATGGCCAGAATTGTGGCCAAACCCAAAAGACTTCCGCAGTCTGGAGGCCACAGTCAGTCCTAAGTGCCCATCAGCACTTAGGATGCCTGTCCACTTCCCGCTTGGTGAGGATGAAGAGGATACCACAGGGGAAGCCCAGGGCGCAGGCTACGCCCACGGCTTTCATGGGGTTCCCGCCCCTCTTTCTGGGAATGTTTTCCAGCTCAGGAGATGGGGGCCCAGGCTCTTCCTTGAAATCTGGGGAACTGTGCCTTGCCGTGCCCGGGGCCTGTTCTGGGGAGCTTTGTGTTAGCCTTGGCTCCAGAGAGAATCTCCCCCAGTCCTTCAGCGCCATAGCAGCTACTATCGCTGCCATGTTCAGATCCCACCCCCAACCATTCCGATTCTTTTTTTGTTTTTTAATCCGAGGATATTTTTCCCATTGATCTTTTTTTAAAAAATATCTTGCCCTAACCGGTTTGGCTCAGTGGATAGAGCGTCGGCTTGCAGACTCAAGGGTCCCACGTTCGATTCTGGTCAAGGGCATGTATCTTGGTTGGGGGCACATCCCCAGTGGGGAGTGTGCAGGAGGCAGCTGATCGATGTTTCTCTCTCATTGATGGTTGTAACTCTATATACCTCCCCTTCCTCTCTGTAAAAACCCAATAAAATATATTTTAAAAAAATAAAAATAAAAATATTTTTATTGATTTCAGAGAGGAATTAAGAAGGAGAGAGAGAGAGAACATCAATGATGAGAGAGAGTCACTGACCAGCTGTACTGCATGCCCCCTACTGGGGATGGAGCCCACAACCCCAGCATATGCCCTTGACTGGAATCGAACCCCGGAAACCCGCCCCACCCCCAGTCAGCAGGCCGACACTCTATCCGCTGAGCAAAACCAGCCAGGACCCATTGATCTTTTAGAACAGCCATTATCCACCTGTGGGTCGTGACCCGTTTGGGGGTCGAACGACCCTTTCACAGGGGGCGCCTAAGACCATCGGAAAAGACATATATAATTACATATTGTTTTGTGATTCATCACTATGCTTTCATTATGTTCAATTTGTAACAATGAAAATACATCCTGCATATCAGATATTTACATGACGATTCATAACAGTAGCAAAATTACAGTGAAGAAGTAGCAACGAAAATAATTTTATGGTTGGGGGAAACCACGACATGAGGAACTCTATTAAAGGGTCGCGGCATTTGGAAGGTTGAGAACCGCTGTTTTAGAGAGAGTGGAAGAGACAGGGAAAAACAGAGGGAAATACTGACGTGAGAGAAACACATTGATTGGTTGCCTCCTGCATGCGCCCCTGACCAGGGTCCCGGCAGGGGAGGAGCCTGCAACCGAGGTAACTACCTTGACCGGAATCGAACCCGGGACCCTTCAGTCCGCAGGCCGACGCTCTATCCACTGCACCAAACCGGCCAGGGCTCCCTCCAGTTCTTAATCCCTGAGCACCACAGCATCACCCAGGCCGACAACCAACCCCGCCGTTCCCATTGTCCATCGTTAAGGCCTTCATACACTTGGTAACCTTGGACGCCAAGGGGAGGACCCCTAAAGCCAAGATTCCCTAGTGACCGAACCCAAAGTGCCCAAAGAGCCCTTCTCTCGCCTCACAGGTCCCCCCACCGCCCCCCACTCCCGTCCGCACCCCGCGCAGACCCACCTGATGCTGCGCTTCGCAAGACTCTGCAGTAGCAGCTAAGGCTCAACTCATTTCCGCAACGATTTCTATCCGCCGCTGGGGCACCCGAGTCCTCCCTCCCACTGTCGCTAGGGACGCTGCCGGACGTTCCGGCTGCAGCCGTGGGCGTGGCTCTGTGACGTGACGTGGCCACGCCCCGGCTCTGTGACGTAGCGTAGCCACGCACACCTCCCCTCCGATCCAGTCCCAAGCGGTCAACATGGATGGCGTTCGCCCTTCAAGAGAATTTTGAAATCACCTTTTGGACGCGTGACAGTCCCCCCCTTGGTCAGCAGCAGTGCGCTGAGTAAGTTTTCAGAGGCCGGAGCCTATCGAAAGCCAAGGCGGAGCTGGTTGTGTTTTATTTTAGCCCCTCCTCCCGGGTCTCCCCCACCCCCCGGGACTGGAAAGATGGCGGCGCCCATGGCATTGCCGCGGAGCACCATGGGGGCGGCAATCTTACCGGAAGTGCAGTTCCCACAGGCGAGAGCGCCCAGGAACTGAGGTCTGGAGGAGGCTGCGGACGAGCAACGAAGCTGGTAGGGCCCGAGATGTCAGAGGTGTGGTCAGACTAGGGACAAAACCCTGGAGATGTTTGAGCGCGGGGGACGTCTGGGATTTTGAGTGGAGCCGGCCTGGCGACCTCGGTCGGAAGCGGGTTGTCGTGGAGGAACCGATGGGGAGGGCAGGGCTGTGAAGAGCGAGGCCCACGGGTTTCTCTAGACACGTGATAACTGAAGACTGTGGCGATGACTGCAGAAGGTGGGAAGGAGGTGGGATTCCTCCCGCGCTAGTGAAACCAAAGTGCTGTCTCGCGAAATCGGAAAAACAAGGTGTTAACGGTAAAACAGGTCAGGAAAAGCGAAAGCAAAGTTTGAGAGATCCCATATAATAAGACCCTGATATGCAAATTGGCCTAAGGGTGGAATGACTGTTTGCTATGAGTTGCAGTGGCCACCAGGGGGCAGACACTCAACACAGGAACTGCACCCTGGTGGTCATTGTGCTCCCACAGGGGGAGCGCTGCTCAGCCAGAAGCTGGGCTCAGGACTGGCAAGTGCAGCAGTGGTGGTGGGAGCATCTCCTGCCTCAGCAGCAGCAGTAAAGACCCCTGGGGAAATGTCCGACTGCCGGGAGCAGGCCTAAGCCGGCGGGAGGACATCCCCTGAGGGGTCCAGGACTGCAAGAAGGTGCAGGCAGGGTTGAGGGACCAACCCCCCCATTGCACGAATGAATGTCATGCATTGGGCGTCTAGTACTAGTACAGTGATTCCCAAAGTGGGCGCTACAGCGATCCAGGGGGGCGGTGATGGCCACAGGTGCATTTGTTTTAACTTTTTTTGTATTACCTTTCTATTCTGAGTTCAATAAATAGTTTCAGAATTTCAAACTTAAATATTTCTAATTTACACCTTTCTTTACTATATTTTACGAAAAAGGTAGAAACATTAATACATATATCTTTCTGTTTAATTGCTATTAAAATTTTAAAAAAATTAATTTCCAGGGGGCGCTGAGTAATATTTTTTCTGGAAAGGAGGCGGTAGGCCAAATAAGTTTGGGAACCAATGTACTAGTATATGGTTCCAGGCAGAGGGATGTCCCATGGGTCCCTACAGACCAGCAATTCTACTAAAGTGATATCCAGAAAAAAACAAACTTAGTCCATGTGCTCTTGACCGGAATCGAACCTTGGACCCTTCAGTCTGAAGGCCAATGCTTTATCCATTGAGCCAAACCAGTTAGGGTGGGAGAGACTATTTTCTTACAGAGAATAAAAGTGTAGACGGCGAAAGGAAAAAATAAAATTGGTTATTCAGATTTTTCAGTTATTTTTCAATCAGTATTTGTAAAATAATCTACTAGAAAATAATACATTTCCCTTAAATACATAGATTGTTTTGATTTGTATTTTCCAAATGCCTAATAATGTTGATCATATTCTCATTCCTGTCTCTTTGGTGAAATGTGTATTCAAGTTCTTTTTCCCATGTCTTTTTTTAACTGGGTTGGTTTCTTAATGAATCTTAAAAGTTTACATATTATTCATCTGGAAATGTCTTCATTTTGCCCCCCCTTTTTTGTTGTTAATCTTCACCTGAGGACATTTTTCCCATTGCTTTTCAGAGAGAGAGTATAAGGGGGGGAGAGAGGAAGGAAAAGAAGAAAGGAGAGAGAAAGAGAAATATTTGCGTGAAAGAGACGTACCGAAATGTTGCCTCCCACAAGTGCCCTCATGGGGGGGTGGAGGGTGAAGTGCAACTGAGATATGTACTCTTGACCAGAAATCGAACCCTCCACCCTGCTGTGCGCAGGCTGGCTCTCTAACCACTGACCACACCGGCCAGGGTGAGGATAAAGTTTTTTAAAAGAAAGCAGAAGGTGCAGTAAAGAGGATTATCATTGCTATTATTGTGAGCATTTGGGCCAATATAAGGAATGTTCATTTCTGTCACTTGATTCAATTAAAATACATGGCTCCAGCTTTTCTTTTCTTCTTAAAGCTTTCAGGAATTTGTGAGGGTCGCCGAAGGAGCGAAGGAGGAACTGCACGAGGACAAAGAGAGTGGCCTAGCGATGCTGGTGGAGTTGCACAACCAGGGCCAGGACCGCTGTGTCCTCACCTGCACTGAGTGCAAGCAGCGGGTGAAGACAGGCTGGCACTGCCCCGGGTGCGAGGACTACGACCTTTGCATCAACTGCTACACCACCAAGGGCCACACCCACAAGATGGTGAAGGTGGGGCTGGGCCTGGATGAAGAGGCAGGGGAGGGCGATGAGGGCGGCAACCAGGGGGAGATGCAGTTCAGGAGAATCCGGGAGGCTCGGCGCCTGAGCATCCTGCGCTGCATCCAGACCCTGAGGCATACCCGCCAGTGCCGCGACGCCAGCTGCTCTCGGACCAACTGCCACACGATGAAGCGTGTTGTGCTGCACCCCAAGCGCTGCCAGCGCAAGGCCAATGGAGGCTGCCCAGTGTGCAAGCAGCTATTCGCCCTTTGCTGCTACCATGCCAAACGCTGCCAGGAAAACCCATGCCCCATTCCCTTATGCCTCAACATCAAACAGAAGCTCCTCGAGCAGCTGCTCCGGCTCCGCCAGCAGCGGATTGGGAACCACCTGCCGCAGGGGTAGCTCATGTGCCAAAGGATGCCACCATGAACACCCGTCACGTGCCTCAGCAGTCCTCCATCCCCTCCTTGAGCACCACCCTGGACACCCCACAGCAGCCCAACACACCCCAGACACCACAGCCTCCGACTCAGTCCCAGCCCTGGCCTGTAAGCATGTCACTAGCCGGCTTCTTCAGCTCGGCCAGAACTTCGCCCCCATCAGTGTCCATGGGGAAGCCCATTACCCTTCAGCTCCAGCCCAGCCTGCAGAACCTGAACGCCACGCCAGCCAGCAGGCCACGACCTGCTGTCCCTCCGCCGCAGCAACAATGGGAGGCCTGAACCCCCCAGGGCCAGGCCTTGAACATCATGAACCCGGGGCGCAACCCCAGCGTGGCGAGAATGAAGCACAGCACAGAGGGACGCCGCGGAGCAGCAGCAGCAGCAGCAGGAAGGCAGCACTGGCATGGCTGCAGGCCTGGCAGGACACGCCCAGTTCCAGCAGCCTCGGGGACGCCGATGCCTCCCGCAGCCATGTAGCAGCAGCAGGTCCAGCAGCAGAGTGGGTCCCAGGCCAGCCAAACCCTGTTAGGACCTAACAGTGAGGCATATTTTGTACCTTTCCCGTGCCCTCAGTTTCTCCCCTGCACTCAGTACTTTCTGTTGTCCCCACTGGAGGCTCCTGTCCTCTCTGCTGTTTTCCTGTTATTCTCCTTTCAGGTGTCACAGGAGACAACTAAACAGCTGAGAAAAGCAGCTCTAGACCCAGCTTCCTGCAGCCGCCTGCACCTCCATCCGACCCACCCAGAGACATAAATATCCCGCCCTCCCTACTCTTGCTTGCTGAGATGGATATGCTGGTGTGTATTAATAATACCATTTCTAGCCCTGACCGGCTTGGCTCAGTGGACAGAGTGTCAGCCTGCACACTGTAGGGTCCCAGGTTCAATTCTGGTCAGTAGCATAAACCTTGGTTGCAGGCCCATCCCCAGTAGGAGGTGCAGGAGGCAGCTGATGGATGTTTCTCTCTCATTGATGTTTCTAACTCTCTATCCTTCTCCCTTCCTCTCTGTAAAAAATCAATAAAATATATTTTAAAAATTAAAAAAATAAAATTTCTAAACTCTCAAAAAAAACCCAAAAAACACATACATGGCTCCATAATAATAATGTAAAAAGAAAGTGGCCCAGTTGGCGTGCTCAGTGGTTGAGCATTGACTTATGAAGCAGGAGGTCCCGGTTCCATTCCCAGTCAGGGCACATGCCCGGGTTGCAGGCTTGATCCCCAGTGTGGGGTGTGCAGGAGGCAGCTTATCAGTGATTCTCTGTCATCATTGGGGTTTCTATCTCTCCCTCTCTCTTCCTCTCTGAAATCAATAAAAAATATTTTTAAAATAATTAAAAAAATAAAACGCCCCGAAAATAACATATTTATCAGCATTTAATGTGGTTTTTAAAACAACTAATTACTGAAACATCTAAGACCTTGCTCTTGAGCAGTTGTCTGCAGTTTGGGTTCAAATACATTTCTATAAAAATTCAAATGAATAAATAAATAAAACAACTGATCCCACTTCTAGGAATATATCCCAAGAAACCAGAAACACCAATCAGAAAGGATATATGCATCCCTATGTTCACAGCAGCACAATTCACCATAGCTAAGATTTGGAAACAGCCTAAGTGCCCATCAGCAGATGAGTGGATTAGAAAACTGTGGTACATCTACACGATGGAATACTATGCTGGGGTAAAAAAGAAGGAACTCTTGCCATTTGCAACAGCATGGATGGACCTGGAGAGCATTATGCTAAGGGAAATAAGCCAGTCAGTGAAAGATAAATACCACATGATCTCACTCACTTGTGGATTATAGAGAACAACATAGACTGATGAACAGGGACAGATCCAAAGACAGAGAAACAGCAATCAGACTATCAATCCCCAGAGGGAAAGTAGGGGAGGGAGGGGGTAAGGGGAAGAGATCAACCAAAGGACATGTATGCATGCATATAAGCCAAACCAATGGACATGGACAACAGGGATGAGAGCATGAGTCGGGGGGGGGGGGGGGGGGGGGAGGGGGGAAAGGGGATTAATGGATGGGATGAGGACACATTTGTAATACCTTAACTAATAAAGAATTTTAAAAAAAAGACTAAAGAAAATAGAACAACTGATTACTTCAGGAAGTGTTAAAGAGGCAAACACAAACATCCCGCCTTTCCAATGAGATCAATATCAGATGTAACCACATAGTCCCACTTTATAAAGGGAAGCCAAAAACTTACCAGTTAATGGATGTAAAAGAACCTCAGAATTAGAAATCGAAAATTTTAAAAAAATAATGATTTAAGGGGAAATTCTCAATCTTAAAATCAACTACTTAATACTAGATGGGGATTAGGAATTCTTTTTTTAAATATATCTTTATTGATTTCAGAAAGGAAGAGAGAGAGGGGATAAAAACATCAATGATGAGCGTGAATCATTAATGGGCTGCCTCCTGCACACCCCCTGCTGGGGATCAAGCCCGAAACCCCAGCATGTGCCCTTGACGCGAATTGAACCTGGGACCCTTCAGTGCTCTGGCCCACCGTCCAACCCCTGTGCCAAATCAGCTAGGGCAAACCTGCATAACTTTTGACACCCCTTCCTCCACAAAAACAAACACCCGCCCCCCCACACTTTAAAACTACACCCGGCCCTGGATACCATGGGGAATTAGTTGCAGGACCCCTGCGGATACCAAAATCCATGGAAGCTCAAGTGCCTAAGGCCCTTATATAAAAGTGGGTAGAATAATGCATACAGTCAGCCCTCTGCATCAGGAATTCCCAATCGGATCAAAATACTGTTCCTAATTGGTTGGTTGACTCCCTGGATGCAAACCCCATGGACAGGAAGAGCTGACTGTATATTTTTTTTTCCGGGGGTGGGATCGGGGAGAGAATCCCAGTATGAGCCCTCCCTGGCAGTTTAAACCTGTGTCGTTCAAGAATCAACTATAATCCCAAAGTAACATTATACACATTGCTATCTAGCTACCCCAATGGAAGGGTCCCAAATGCACATTGAGGAACAATCCACACCTCAGGACTCCCATCTTTTCTTTTGGCGATTCCTTCCTGGACATGCTCCCAGGAGTTGGTGGCACATTGTCCTTAGCCGGGGGCCTAGGAGAAATCTGAAGGGTGGGCAGTGCTCCCAGCATTGGTAGATTCTGGAGGCACGCGTCCTCTAGGGGACGGGGCACGGTGCCTTCTGAAGGCCCCGCTTCCAGCCTCAGGGCATCGCCCTGTGAACTGCGTTTCCCAGAAGTCTCTGCGACAACGCCCCTTAGGGCCTTCGAGAGTGGCACGCCGGCGAGGTGAGCCGCTTCCATCTTCGCGGATTCCCGGGTTCTGGACTACATTTCCCAGAGCCCCCCGAGGCGCGGCTTCATTAGGAGCGCTCCGCGTTGCATTCTGGGAGACGCGTCCCCAGCACACAGGGTTTTTTTAGGCTCGGGCTTCCCTGGATGCCATCCAGCGTTCACCTCGACCCTTGCGCCCCCTCCCGACGCCCTGTGGGCCGTTGGGTCCCACGCGGTAAGCTGCTAGCATCCCAGGAGGAAACCCGCGCGGGATGCGGCGGGGGGCGGGGGTGGGGGTAAGGGGGGCAGGCGGGTGTCGGGGCGCCAGACGCCCCGGGCGCGGAGGCCCGAAGCGCAGCCTCGGCCTGCGGCTGCGGGGAGAAGTGCGCGCGCGTGTGAGTGAGTGAGTGTGAGTGTGTGTGTGTGAGTGTGTGTGTGTGTGTGTGTGTGAGTGCGAGTGCGCGTGTCAGTGTCAGGGACCGGGCCACGCCCCCGGGACTCAAGAGCGTCGGCGCGGGCGGCAGGCCGGGCCCCCTCGCGGTGACGCACCAGCGCGTGGTGGTGCTGGGGGCGGCTCTGCTCCGCGGGGCGGGGTGGGCGGGGCCTGGCAGGTGACTGTGACGTGGGTGTCGGTGGGTGTGCGCTTGTGCGGCCGCGGCGGCGCGGGGCGCGTTGGGAGGACTGGGTGCGTGGCCACCGCGGAGCGGGGACCGGGGTGTGCGCGGCAGCGCGCCCCGTGGCTGTGCTGTCTCTGCGGCTCCCCTGCCGTCACCTTCCCGCCGGGGGGTGCCTGCCTGGACGCAGGGGCCTCAGGGGGGAGTCAGAGCCCGACCCTGCGAGGAGAGTGACAGCTGGAGGCGGGAAACCCCTTCCTGGCCGTGGAGGGGCGTCTTCTTGTTTGTCGGCAAAGCTGTCCCCGTTTAATTGGTAGCAGATTCTGACTTGCACAAGTAGCATTCTTTTTAAAAATTTATATTTTAGCCGAAACCGGTTTGGCTCAGTGGATAGGGCGTCGGCCTGCGGACTGAAAGGTCCCAGGTTCGATTCCGGTCAAGGGCATGTACCTTGGTTGTGGGCACATCCCCAGTAGGAGGTGTGTAGGAGGCCGCTGATGGATGTTTCTCTCATCGATGTTTCTATCTCCCTCCCTTCCTCTCTGTAAAATATCAATAAAATATATTTAAATATATATATATATATATATATATATATATATATAATTGATTTCAGAGAGGAAGGGAGAGAGAGATAGAAACATCAATGATGAGAGAGGATCATTGATCGGCTGCCTCCTGCACGCCCCCTAGTGGGGATCGAGCCCACAACCCGGGCATGTGCCCTTGGTGGGAATCGAACCCAGGCCCCTTCAGTCCACAGGCGGATGCTCTATCCACCGAGCCAAACCGGCTAGGGCAGTGGCATTTTTTAAAAATATATATATTTTTATTGATTTCAGAGAGGAAGGGAGGGGGAGATTGAAACATCAGTGATGAGAGAGAATCATTGATTGGCCGCCTCCTGCACCCCTCTACTGGGGGTGGAGCCCATAACCCAGGCACCAGAATCGAACCTGGGATCCTTCAGTCCCGCGCGCCGATGCTCTATCCACTGAGCCAAGCCAGCTAGGGGGCAAGTAGCATTCTTTAAAAAATAAAAATAAAGAAGGGCGCATCGTCCTGAGATGGCAATTTCAGCGCTAAAGTGCTCTTCCCAGGGCTACCTGAATGACAGGACAGAAGGGCCTCAGGAATGAGATCCTGTTTTGCAGGGGGGAGGTTCCAGACCTGACCGGTGGGGGAGGGGGCAGCTGCACAGTGACAAGGCCCCGCGGGCACTGGAGCCTAGTCCCCAGGAATCTCTGAAATACTCAGACCCGAGTTCCCCCTCGTTTCTGGTTGGTTTTAGATATGACATGGGGACAGGTGTGGCATGGGGACAGAAAGGACCTGGTGTCTCATTCTCTCCTCTTTCCCCCAGGCCAGCCATCCTGCATCGTCAGGCGTCTTAAAATCAAGGTTCTGGTGAGTTTTGTTGTTGTTCAGAACGCAAATGATTTGTTTATAGGGCGGAGGAATATTTGCTTTTCTTGGCCAAAAATGTCCCCCCTAACAGGGACCTATCCCAGTGACTCCTCCCCAGGACGTGTGACAGGGCCCTGCAGATGTATTTCCCCGTGTCCTCCCCACTGAGCCACCCTCCTTGGTGAGCATTCACTTGGCGGATTGCTCACATCCCCGTAGCTGATGCCAGTGGGAGTGTTTGCGCTTTAGTTCAGTGTGACTTGGTGTTTAGGGGGAACCGAACACTAGACATCTATGGTCCTTTCACAGGCCTGCCTTTCAGATCACAGCAAGAAAGGAGAGGGTGCCCTGACTGGTTTGGCTCAGTGGATAGAGCGTCAGCTTGTGGGCTGAAGGTTCCCAGGTTCGATTCCGGCCAAGGGCACATGCCCAAGTTGTGGGCTTGATCCCCAGTAGGGGACGTGCAGGAGGCAGCCAATCAATGATTCTCTCTCATCATTGATGTTTCTATCTCTCTTTCCCTTCCCTCTTCCTCTCTGAAATTAATAAAGATATGAAAAAAAAAGGAAGAAAATGATTTTTTTTAAAAAAAAGAAAGAAAGGAGAGGGTGTGATCATTGTAGTAAATGACAAAGCAAACGGCTTTGGGAGGCGTTTGAGGGTGGGGTTCGAGCGAAGGTCTTTGCCAGAAAGGCAGGGTTTGTTTTTTTTTCAGTAATCAGTTAATAGAAATGCGTTGCATGAGCCAGGTCTTGTTTGAGGTCTGACAGTTGTAGCTTAGTTGCATCTTGTATGAAATGTGAGAAGCAGTTGATACTGGGTATGAGTTCTGGATGTAGAGCCCGGGTTGGTCAGCTTTTTCTGTAGAGGATCCTGTGCTAAGTATTTTAGTTTTGTGGGTTGCTTGTGGCTGCATGCTGTTCTTTCCAATGGATTTATTTGTTTCGAATGGTTTTAGATTCACAGAAGAATTCCAAAAAATTTTTCATACAGAGAATTCCCAGGTACCCTGCCCCTGTTTCCCCATTTTGACCAAGTTACATTAGCATGGCACATTCCTTATACTGAATGGGCCGATTTGATACGTTATCGTTAACTCAAGTCCATGCTTTATTCCTTTCCCGTAGTTTTTACATAACCTTCTCCATCTGTTTCAGGATCCCATCCAGGAAACCACGATACAGTTCGTTGTCCTGTCTCCTTAGGCTCCTCTCGGCTCTGACAGTTTCTCAGCCTCCCCTTGTTTCTGATGACCTTGAAGACGTAAGAGGTGCCGATCAGGCGTTTGGCAGGATGTTCCTGCACTGGAATCTGATGTTTGTCTCGCGTGTAGACGAGGTGCATGGGTTTGAGGGTAAAAGATCACAGAGGGTACAAACTGTCAGCACGATGTGCGGTTGTTGAGGTTGCCCGTGATCGTGCTGGCCATGGCAGTGTTTGTTCGTTTTCTCCACTGGAAGGTTTCTCCTTTTCCCTCCTTTTCCTACTTACACTCTTTGGAAGGAAGTCGTCTGTGCAGCTCATGGGTAGAGTGTGCAGAATTATGCCCCTCCTCCTCCTCTGTTTCTTGATCATTTCTTTTTGTTTTCACAACCCTTTAAAAATGTAAAACCGCCCTCGCCGGTTTGGCTCAGTGGATAGAGCCGTGGTTCTCAACCTTCTGGCCCTTTAACTACAGTTCCTCATGTGGTGACTCCCAACCAGAAAATTATTTTCGTTGCTACTTCATCACTGTAATGTTGCTACTGTTTTGAATCGTCATGTAAATATCTGAGATGCAGGATGGTCTTAGGCGACCCCCGTGAAAGGGTTGTTCGACCGCCAAAAGGGTCGCGACCCACAGGTTGAGAACCGCTAGGATAGAGCGTCTGCCTGCATACTGAAGGGTCCCAGTTTCGATTCCGGTCAAGGGCATATGCCCGCGTTGTGGGCTTGACCCACAGTGTGGGACCTGCAGGAGGCATCCGATCAATGATTCTCTCTCATCATTGATGTTTCTATCTCTCTCTCCCTCACCCTTCCTCTCTGAAATCAATAAAAAATATTAAAAATAAATAAATAATGATAACAAAATAAAAATGTAAAACCCTTTAGCCCTACAAAAATAGGCTGACCTAGAGTATTGGGGTTTCAATCCTGTCTCTGCCTCTTAGCATTTGGGGCTCTATAAAGATAAGGTTGTGATGAGGATGAGATAATATAGGTAAAGCCCCACAGAATAGCCCCCAGTGCATTAGTGTTCAGTACATTCTGTTTTCTCTATGTGGTACGTCTGGGTGCCCTGTAGGTCAGAAGCAACATACATATGAAGGTCATTGTGATGGATACTTACCAGTTCTCAAAATGAACCAGAGCACCTGGCTGGTGTTGCTCGGTGATGGTGATTGGTTGAGCGTCAACCTATGAACCAGGAGGTCATGGTTTGTTGATTCCTGGTCAAGGTACCTGCCCAGGTTGTGGGCTCGATCCCCACTGTGGGGCATGCAGGAGGCAGCCGATCAATGATTCTCTCTCATCATTGATATTTCTGTCTCTCTCTCCCCCTCTCCTTTCCTCTCTGAAATCAATAAAAATATATGTATTTTAAATGAACTAGAGCATAGAACAGGAATCCTTAGCCTGAGGTCCTTCCTTTAATTGCATTTGCCATTTTCCAAGGGAAATTGTATACAGACTTATTGCATATGGCTTTCTTCCTCAGAAAAAATCTATAACTTCGTGGCATTCACAAGTGTGGACGTGCCCCCCCAAATTAGACCCTTGTTCTGGGACCAAAGGCTGTGTTCAGAACACAGCCAGTATTCAGAATGATGGACATGGTTAAAGTAAATCACACCCAATTCATGTTATGAAGTATTATGCAGCTATGAAGAGTGATATTTAGAAAGTCATAAGAAGGAAAAATGCATGTGATGTAATATTAAACAGTACTCAGTTATAAACAATATTATGCATGAACATTTTTACTTAGTTGAAATTTTATTTAATAAAACACTTTTTAAGTATGCTTACTCAATGAAGGCGGAAGGGAGAGGGGCCACTTGTATTGAGCACCTTCCCTGTACCAAACACTCTTCTATCTGCTTCACACACTGTCCCTAATCAGGCCACAGAGCAGCTTAGCTGTTGTTGTGCCAAGTCTGATGGTATTAGAGACACAGGGGAAGGATGTGCAAGGTCAGGGAGGTCATATCGGTTTGTCACCTGTTTTTCCGATACTGGGCCTTGTGTCAGTTTCCTGTTGCTGCTGTAACATATTGCCACAGATTTAGTGGCTTAAAACAGCACATATTTGCTAAGGTGCAGTCCTAGAGGTTAGAAGTCCAAAATCCCCTGGGCTGAAACAAGCATGTCAAACTCAAAGGCTGAATAAACAAGGTGTAAGTGTATGTGGGCCGAAAAAAAACCCCAAAAGCTCCCATTTTCATAGAAACGTGGGTTTATTTCACTAGAGACGTGCTGAATACAAAGGGCTGAAATAAATGAGTCATCGTTAACATAAAATAATAGAACATTTTAATAAAAATTAATATTTTTTTTTTTTTAATTTTGCAATATTGGGGGACCAGGCGGCAAGTCCCGAAGGACTTCTCCCAATGCTCAGGCCGCTCCAACCTTTTATTGATCTGGGATGCCCCCATAGCATATCCCTTAGGCAGGTGACCCCCTAGTAACAAGCAGACTAGCCCATCAGCAAGGATTTACATAATAATAAATGGGGGAGTAGTTTCAGCTACCACTGTCTGGACAAACAGAGGTGGCGCCTAGCTCAGACCTTTGGGAGGGCTTCAAAGGCACCCAGCCTTCGGGGGGTTCTCTGTCTATGCTTATCAGATAGTGAAGGCAATAAACAGTTTCCCACATCTCCCCCTTATTTTTTCTTTAAAAAATAATCAAGTCCCAATTTCAATATCCAAAAGTTCTGAGTCCATGTTTCAATGTCCAAAAAAGTTCATGTGTACATGCCAGCAATGAAATGTTGGTTCTGGATGGTGGACAAATGCAGGTCCGGTCCTCTCTGGTTTGGTCCTGGGCACCCTGCAGCGCCGCACAGCTGCTGACTGCTAGCGTGGCAAGGCATCTTCCACCATCTCAAAAATTAATATTTTTTCTTGAACATGAACTTACCAGACACTGAATAACTGCACAAATTCATAAGCATTATGTAAATAAACCTATTCTTGTTCTCCGAAAGTGAAATATTTCCTGTTGTGCACACCAAACAAGTCAGTCCAAGACTAATGACGTGGCAGTCGGCTGCTAAAATATTCACTGCTGGTATTAGTGGAGAGACATGGGGTGCCGGCGAGTAAGGGAAATGAACGCAACAGGATTATAGTCATCAGTCATTAGCGAACTTTGTAGTTTGTTATTAATAATTATGTATAACAGGATTTGTAAAAATTAAGTTACGAAATTTTTATTGAAACGTTTTTTACATGCCGTTATATTGGCTGGGCCGCAAAAATATTCATTGTGGGCCTCATGCGGCCCGCGGGTTTGACATGCTTGGGCTAAACCCAAGGTGTTGGTAAGGCTGCGTTCCTTTTCAGAGGCTCTAGGGGGCACCCTTCCCCTGCCTTTCCCGGCTCCAGAGGCTGCCTGCATTCCTGGAATTACAGCCCATTCCTCCATCTTCAGAGCCAACAGACAAGTCCTCTCATGTCGTATCACGCTGTCCCTGCTTTCCTCCGCCCGTCTTTCTCTCTCCTTCTGACACCCCTCATCTACTTTTGCGATTACATTGGACCCACCTGGATAATTCTGGATGATCTCCCTATTTTTTTTTTTTATATATATTTCATTGATTTTTTACAGAGAGGAAGGGAGAGAGATAGAGAGTCAGAAACATCGATGAGAGAGAAACATCGACCAGCCGCCTCCTGCACACCTCCCACTGGAGATGTGCCCGCAACCCAGGCACATGCCCCTGACCGGAATCGAACCTGGGACCCTTCAGTCCGCAGGCCGACGCTCTATCCGCTGAGCCAAACCGGCTTCGGCAGTCTCCCTATTTTAAGGTCAGCTGATTAGGACTTTAAGTCCAGCTGCAACCTAACTCCCCTTTCCATTTAATATAACATATTTCAGTTTCCAGAGTTAGGACGCATGCTGTTCAGTCTACCACAGGCCTATTCGTTCAGCCTTCTCTTACTGCCTGCAGTACACCGCACTCCAACGGTGGGGCTTTCCCTTTCTTATTTTTTCTTTAACTTTGGGACTGACTTAAGTTTATTTCTTATAATGGGATTAATGCAGGCCTACTGCCACAATTTCAGCTTCCTAAGGAGCTCATAAAGGAGAAACTTGAGTGTGTTCTCCCTCCCAGGCATGCCAGCACCCTCCCCTCCGCTCCCCTCCCCTCCTCTCCCCTTCCTCTTCTCTCTCCCTCCTACCTCTGTCCCTCTCCTCCTCCTCCCAGGCCTATTACCATTACCTTCCTCACTTCCAAGCTCCTAGCGCCCTTCCTTTAAAGAAAAAAGAAGAAACTTGAGCCCGGCCAGTGTGGCTCAGTGGTTGAGCATCGACTCATGAAACCTATGAACCAGGAATTCATGGTGCATATACTGGGTGTTTCCCCCCAAAATGTATACACTTAAAAGCTGATAGCTAAGTTGATTTTTCTTTCTTTTTAGATTTAACCTACTGGAATTAATAATTATTCAAAGTCTGTATTCATTTTTGGGGAATAATTCTCCAAAAAAATATGTGTGTGTGTGTGTGTGTGTGTGTGTATGTATGTATATGTGTATGAATGTATATGTGTGTGTGTGTGTGTGTGTATACATATATATGATCTGTGCCTTCCTTTGTTCTGTGCTGCCCCCTAGTGGTCAGCACATGTCATAATGATTGATCGAACTCCCCAAGGGGACACTTCGCATATTAGCCTTTTAAAAAATATATATATGTAATATAATAAAACATTATATATGTGTGTGTATGTATTCTTTAAAATATATTATATATATATATATATATATATTATACACACACACACACACACACACATACATATATATACAAGACATACATATTTTCTTCCTTGGGATACATGCCAAAAAGTAGAATGTTGAGCCAAAATCATACTTCTGTTCAGTGCCTGCAATGAGCCTGACCCTGGGGTAAGTGCTGTGCCCTAACAGGTGCTAGGAGCAGGACATCATCCCTCTCACTGTGGTCACTGAGGTCAGGTCATGACCAAAGAGTCCTGATCGCACAGGCTCTAGATGGAGAGATAGAAAGTTTATTTTCTAAGTTAATTAAATGTCTGACCAAATATAGCAGGCTAATGTTTAAGTGGATAATTTTGTATGGCCCAGGAATGATATTATAAATATCCAAATGGCTCTTGGCAGAAAAAGGTTCCCCACCCCTACTCTGGATGGACTCAGGGTCCAACCCATTGTCCTCCCCGTGGCCAAGAGGTATTACAGGGAAAGGGTTCAGGGCAGTCAGCCGAGGGAAAGGCACACAGGACTAATCCTCCCTCCATCAGAGTCCAACCACATGCAGTGTTGTCTGGGGGGGAGCTCACAGCCTGGGAGCCAGGGTTTTTATCAGGTGTCAGTCACGTAGGCACCCTCTGCATAGCACATACAAACATTCCAGGAGCGTGAGCCACTGTCCTCAGTGAGGGAATGGCGGGAACCCTGCAAGTCCAGCCAAGGACCAGTCTTGCAAGCAGGCTTAAGGTTAGCATTTTCAGGCCCGCTGTGCAAGGGATATACACTTTTCAGGATGCTTTCCTCTATTCCTCTCTACTTTGATATCTATCTCTCTCTCTCTCTCTGTTGATGTCTTATGGTCTGTTTGTCAGTATCTGTGTGTTTGTCTCCATATGTGTGTATATTTATTCATATAGCACATATATGGATATATACACACATTGTATTTGTATATATTCATATATAGAATTTAAAAAATACATTTTATTGATTTCAGAGAGGAAGAGAGAGGGAGAGAGATGGAAACATCAATGATGAGAGAGAATCATTAAATTGGCTGCCTCCTGCACACCCCACACTGGGGATCGAGCTCAAAATCAAGGCATGTGCCCTGACCGGGAATTTGAACTGTGACCTCCTGGGTCATAAGTTGAAGCTTAACCACTGAGCCACCATGGCTGGGCTTATATAGAGACAAGGTATTGTACCATCTTGTTTTGGTAACATTATTTTCCTACTGATGGTATATCTGAAATACTTTTCATATTCTAAGCATTCCAACTTAGCAGTAAGTAACCACTGACCTTGGTGTTCTGCATTGATAGTGTGCATATGTTTATGGGGTCAGCTTTTCTTGTCCGCCTGCCACGTCCTGACTCATGTCACCCTCTCTGGAGGCCAGAAGAGATTTGAGTTTGGATGATGCAGCCTCTCCTAACCCTGGACAGTGTGACTGGAGGGAGCAGGATGGACTCCAAGTGAGGCTAGGTACCCTCAACACACCCACTCAGGTCCAGATCCCAGTCCCCTCCCCAGAGTCAGCCACATTGGGGGTTTGAGGGCCACCCTCAGTTTTGACGCCAACTGCAGGTTTGGGAGTTTCCTGAAACCAGCCTCAGGGTCAGTAATTCAGGACTAGGACTCCCAGCACTCACTGGAAGCTCTTCTCTCAGGAGTGCGGTTTATTACAGGGAAAGAGCACAGAGTAGCATCAGCCAAGGAAGTAGGTGTGTAAGTCCAGGTGTGGGGGATGTTCACAGCCTGAGCTCCGGTGTCCTCGCCCCAAGGGCACTGCCTACCAGGGACTCACCTGGTCCACCAGGGCTTCATCACATAGGCATCACTAATTGACTTGACTATAGAGAAATATAGACCTGATTGATTAGGTCAACTGATACCTCATGACCCAAAACCCCCACCCAAATCACTTGGTCCTTCTAGGATGAGGAGCTCCTACCCTAAGACTGTTGGGTGTGGCCAGCCCCAGCCTAAGACTGTTGGGTGTGGCCAGCCCCAGCCTAAGATTGTTGGGTATGGCCAGCCCCACCCAAAGATTGTTGGGTATAGCCAGCCCCACCCTTAGAATGTTGAGTATGGCCAGCCCCACCCTTAGATTGTTGGGTATGGTGAGGCCCACCCTTAGATTGTTGGTCATGGCCAGCCCCACCTAAGAATGTTGGGTATGGTGAGGCCCACCCTAAGATGCAGCATGGCAGCTAGTACCCAAAACAAAAGACCTTCCTATCAAGTCTGATGCAGATTACCTCTTAGAAACTGAGGACAAAGGTCAGGTCTCTCTTTGGTCAAGAGCAAATCCTTAGTACTTACCTCTAACAGGGAGCTGGCTGAAGATCCTCTTGCTAAAATGTTTGGGTCTGACTTCAAAGCAAAAAAATAACTAAAAACCCCTCTTTTCTGCCCTGTGCTGCTGGGTGTCCTGGAGTTGGAGGGAGAGCCCGTTTTCCCTCCGATCTTTTCCTGACCTGTGGTGTCTGTGTGGGGGTGCTGGGAAGGATCTGGCGTCCTTGCGAAGCAAAGATGGAGGAGCAGGAAGGTTGTGTGAAGTCACTCTGGGGACCCAGGAGCACTGACTTCAATGCCTCTTTCTCCTGGCCCAGCTCCGCCTTTTCCAGAGTCGGTCTGCAGTGAAGGAAGCCCTTAGACAACTCATCAGGTCCTGATTCTGAAACTATGGCCCACGTAAGTGTGTATGTCTCTTCCCTCCCTGCAGTGTGCTATTTGGATCCCGTGGTGGTTTTTATGAATTATCCCCAAGCCTCCTGCCTCAGGGAGCCCCATCCAATGACCTGCTTCCAGTCCTCTCCATTCCGTCAATGGTGATGCCGCATAGCCCCTCGCCCACCTCGGAGCCCACGTTCATAGAACGTGGCGCTGATGATTCAGTACCTCCCTTATGCTCAGTGTTTTGTCAGCGGGAATGTTGGGGGAATGGAGGAAGAAAGTCCCTGGGGAGAAAGATTTGCTTCGGGTCCATGGTCTGATTAGTTGGAGATGTTGGACGCTTTTGAGCACAGGAGAACACAGAAGTCCTCTGTTCCAGGCAGAAAAGAGGGGATGTGCATATTAGTTGGCCTCGGGGTTAGTGTGTGGGAACAGCCCAGGCTCTGAGGCTGTGAGCATCCGACAGGGCAGGGGCTGAGGCCAGGGGACCCGAGAGCCACTTTTCTTGTTGAACAGACTTCTGTGTGTGTCTGCGTCGTTTGCCACCACCATCCTTTCAATCAGGAACAAGGGATGGGGAGTGGGGGGGTGGTCATGGGTCAGAGCATCCAGTACAGAGGAATAGGTGACCACATGCTCCCAGAACTGTGGACAACCAGAGTCATTTTGTGCAATCACTATCATTCAGTCTAATCTGTCCATGTGGTGGAATTTTAAAAATGTTTTCTGTCATTACAAAGGAAGACTGCTTAAAAGATAGCCTGGCAAAACGATGAACTTGAGGCTCGAAAACATTCAAACAGGCCAACCCTGTTTTCGAAGATAAGAGATCGCATGTTAATTTCTGAAACAAAGCCGGAGGAATGCTGTGAGGCAGGCACGTGGCAGGCTGTGTGCGTGGGAATGGGAGGAAGCCGGACCGCTCTGTCCCTGCTCCGCAGGCTGTGGTGCGGAATTGCACAGGTGCAGCCGGCTTTTCTCTGCAATCACACGGAGGGATTCTGCCTGTCACAGCCACGCCCTCACTGTCCCCTCCCATCTCTCAGGCTTTCCGGGAGGCACTGTGTCCACTCTACCCAGAGCATAGGCCTGCCTCTTCTTTCCTTCGTCTTGAAACTGCCCTTCTGTTTCCTCAGGGACATGTGGGTTTGTGTTCTCAGGGTCCCGTGACATTCTCAGACGTGGCCATCGACTTCTCCCAGGAGGAGTGGGCCTGCCTGGACTCCACGCAGAGGGACCTGTACTGGGACGTGATGTTGGAGAACTACAGTAACTTGGTCTCACTGGGTAAGTTGCCTGAGTCATCTAACTCACACTCTGCTCCCTGGAATGTCAGCCCCTTCCCTTGTGAATTTTAGGGCTGCCTTTTAAGAGACAGAGTTTAGCCCAGCAGGTGTGACTCAGTGGTTGAGTGTTGACCCATGAACCAGGAGGTCACGGTTCGATTCCCAGTCAGGGCACATGCCTGGGTTGCGGGCTCGATCCCCAATATGCAGAGGCAACGGGGCAATGATCCTCTCTCATCACTGATCTTTCTTTCTCTTCCTCTCCCTTCCTTTCTGAAATCAGTAAAAAAAAAAAAATTTTTAAGAAATGAGTTGAGCCGAAACTGGTTTGGCTCAGTGGATAGAGCATCGGCCTGCGGACTGAGAGGTCCCGGGTTCGATTCCGGTCGGGGGCATGTACCTGGGTTGCGGGCACATCCCCACTGGGAGATGTGCAGGAGGCGGCTGATCGATGTTTCTCTCTCATCGATGTTTCTGACTCTCTATCTCTCTCCCTTCCTCTCTGTGAAAAATCAATAAAATATATTTTAAAAAAAAAAAAAAAGAAAAGAAATGAGTTGAATCTTCTTCCTGTTCCCAGGGAGTGCTTTGAGCCTTGTTGGGTTGGAAGTGACCATCACACACCTTCCTCTCGTCATCCACCAGTGATCTTCCCACCTTCGTCTGGCCCTTCCTGTAGTTCCCACTCTCTTCATGAGCAAAGGATTAGTTAGAATTCTGGAATATTTATTTCACAACCATCTTCAAGAACACCAAGCTTCCTACTGTGTTGCTATGTTTATACCCAAATGGCCTGTGGCTCTTTGGGGTGACGTGATTTCTCTATAGAGGTGGATCGACAAACAGAATTCACATAAAAGCAAACAGCATATTCCATTTCCGACACATTGTGCCCAAAGTGAGGTTGAAGGTTACAAATCTGTGACCTTTGAGTTAAACATTACATGATAATACCTTTCATTATCTCAGGAAATTTCTTATTTTTCTGTTAGAAAAGTAACAACCATAATATTTATGGCTAATTTTTTAAAAATATATTTTTGTTGCCCTAGCCGGTTTGGCTCAGTGGATGGAGCGTCATCCTGCGGACTGAAAGGTCCCAGGTTCGGTTCCGTCAAGGGCATGTGCCTTGGTTGTGGGCACATCCCCAGTGGGAGGTGTGCAGGAGGCAGCTGATCGATGTTTCTCTCTCATCGATGTTTCTGACTCTCTATCCCTCTCCCTTCCTCTCTGTAGAGAATCAATAAAATATATTTAAAAATATATATATTTGTTGATTTCAGAAGGTAATGGAGAGGGAGAGAAAGAGAGAGAAACATCAATGATGAGAGAGAATCATTGATCGGCTGCCTCCTGCACACCCCCTACTGGGGATCGAGCCCACAATCTGGGCATGTGCCCTTGACTAGAATTGAACCCAGGACCGTTCAATCCGCAGGCCGACAGGCTATCCACTGAGCCAAACCAGCTAGGGCCTTATGGCTGATATTGTGCTCACTGTATACGAGGTATTGAACTAGGCATTGTGTGTATGTGTTGTATAAATACCCTTCATTTCATTCCCACAAGTTTAGGAGATAGACACAGTGATTAAGTGTGATTTGCGGATGAGTATGCTGGGTCCAGAGGACATGGTCAGACAGAGGAGGCAGGACAAGAACTGAACGGAATTCTGGCCCAAATCCATGCTGCCAGCTACCACGTTCTACTCGCCACCAGGGAGAAGGCCTTCAGAAGTTTAAAATGAGACCTGTCCCTACCTGTCGGTCCACCTGTTGGTTCTCTAACCCTTTCTCTCTTTTTGAAGTCTCTGTGACTTTGACGTCTAGGTGGTTATAAACTTGGTTTTCCTGGGTTGCCCAGGTTTGTCATCACCACATGTACAAAGTGTGCTCCTGCCGATACCGGTTTGGCTCAGTGGATAGAGCGTCGGCCTGCGGACTGAAAGGTCCCAGGTTCGATTCCGGTCAAGGGCATGTACCTGGGTTGCGGGCACATCCCCAGTAGGAGATGTGCAGGAGGCAGCTGATCAATGTTTCTCTCTCATCGATGTTTCTAACTCTCTATCTCTCTCCCTTCCTCTCTGTAAAAAATCAATAAAATATATTAAAAAAAAAAAAAAGTGTGCTCCTTTTCGTCTTTAATTTCCAGATTTCCCCTCTAGTGTCTGGTGCTTACTCGTGTCTGCTGATAGGAAGTAGTAGCTGATAGTCTTCAGGTTTATTCATTAATATTGTGGTACCCGACATGCACATGTTACCAAGGGTCTAGTTGGTTTATATTTATTCTACTAGAGAAGCTTTTTTAAAATACATACATATACAATGTGTGTGTGTGTGTGTGTGTGTGTGTGTATGTATGTGTATATTTTTTAATTGATTTCAGAGAGGAAGGGGAGAAACATCGATGATGAGAGAGAATCACTGATTGGCTGCCTCCTGCACGCCCCACACTGGGGACCCAGCCCATAACCCGGGCCTGTGCCCTGACCAGGAATTGAACTGGGACCTCCTGGTTCCTAGGTCGACACTCAACTACTGAGCCACGCCGGCCGGGCAGAAGTTTTATTTCTACTAGAGAAGTTTTTGGTTTGTAGTTTGCTTTGTTTGTTTGTTTTGTTTTTCTTAAAAGGAAACAAAATGTGGTGTTTTTTCCTCTAGATTTGGAGTCACCCCATGAGACCAAGAACTTACCTACAGAAAAGGGCATCTGTGAGATGCGTTTCTCCAAGTGGAGCTCGGACGGGAAAAGCAAGTCCCTTGGCCTTGACTGGGTGTGTGAAGGTGAGTTAGTAGGGGCGCGGGGCCCTCCAGGGGGGTATCTCAACCGAAGGAAAACCAGCCGTGCGAAAGCGCCCGCCGGGGAGGAGGCCTCGGACAGGCCACCCCAGAGACCTCCTCGCAGGGAGAATGCCTATGAGTGCAAGGAGTGCGGGAAGGCCTTCAGCCGTGGCTACCAGCTGACTCAGCACCAGAAAATCCACACGGGCGAGAAGCCCTACCAGTGTAAAGAGTGTAAGAAGGCCTTTCGCTGGGGTAACCAGCTGACTCAGCATCGGAAAATCCACACCGGCGAGAAGCCTTACGAGTGTAAGGACTGCGGGAAGGCCTTTCGCTGGGGCTCGAGCCTCGTCATTCACAAGAGGATCCACACGGGCGAGAAGCCCTACGAGTGTAAAGACTGCGGGAAGGCCTTCCGCCGCGGGGACGAGCTCACGCAGCACCAGAGGTTCCACACGGGTGAGAAGGACTACGAATGCGAGGACTGCGGCAAGACCTTCAGCCGCGTGTACAAGCTCATTCAGCACAAGCGGATTCACAGCGGCGAGAAGCCCTACGAGTGTAAAGACTGTGGGAAGGCCTTCATCTGTGGCTCGAGCCTGGCTCAGCACAAAAGGATTCACACGGGCGAGAAGCCCTACGAATGTCAAGAATGCGGGAAGGCCTTTACCCGTGTCAATTACCTTACCCAGCATCAGAAAATTCACACTGGTGAGAAGCCTCATGAATGCAAGGAGTGTGGGAAGGCCTTCCGGTGGGGTTCCAGCCTCGTGAAACACCAGAGAATCCACACGGGGGAGAAGCCGTACAAGTGCACGGAATGTGGGAAGGCCTTCAACTGTGGCTATCACCTGACCCAGCACGAGAGAATCCACACTGGCGAGACGCCTTACAAATGTAAGGAGTGTGGGAAGGCCTTTATTTATGGGTCCAGCCTGGTGAAACACGAGCGGATTCATACCGGAGAGAAGCCCTACGAGTGCAAAGAGTGTGGGAAAGCCTTTAGCCACGGCCACCAACTCACACAGCATCAGAGAGTGCACAGCAGTGCGAAGCCGCACGAGTGTCAGGACTGTGGAAAGGCGTGTGGCCACGCACACCATTACAGAGGACACCAGGGGCTCCACGCCGCGGGCAAACCTTTCGAAGACAAAGAATGTTCAGAGGCCTCTAGACAGCACTCGTTTCTCCCACAACACGAGGCAAATTCATGATACGATTTAACATAAGGAAGTCGTCACCGGCCACTCTTCTTCCAGAATCTCAGGATAGTCCTGCGAGAGGCAGGTTTGGAGACGAGAAGTCACTTTTCCTCCCCGATTACAACATACGCAGTGTAGACAGTTTGTTTACTGGATGGGTTAATGGATGCATAGAAGGTTCCCAGGACCTTTTGATTTCATTTCAGATTCATTCTGGGGAATAACTGCTGATGTAACATACGTGCAATAGCCTTTCCTCTCCACGGCTGTCATCCTCAGCCCCCCCTCACTCACTGTGCCTCGGGGGAAATGACCTTTAACCCCTGTGTGTATCTGTGAAATCAGGACAGCCACTTGATACTGCCCGTGGGCCATTAGACAAGTCTGGTATGTGGAACTCCCTGCAAGTGTATCTGGAATATTGTGCAAACTCAATAAACATTAGCTGCGTTTCTGTCATCATTACCCTCGCTGTTGCTGTTAGTGAATTATTGCAAGAAGACCCCCTGTGGGGATAACAAGTTTAGAAAAGACTATTAAACTTCTACAAGAAAATACAGTTTTCACAGCCCGGGGGCCTATGGTGTTTCTTAGCACATAAAAGGTGCTAAACATAAAATAAGGTTAATAAGTTGCACTTCCTCACCTGACCTGGATGGCTCAGTGGTTGAGCATTGACCTATGAACCAGGAGTTCACGGTTCAATTCCCAGTCAGGGCACATGCCTGGGTTGTGGGCTCGATCCCCAGTGTGGGGCGTGCAGGAGGCAGCTAATCAATGAGCCTAATCATTGATTTTCTCTCCTTCCCTTCCTTTCTGAAATCAATAAAAATATATATATATTTTTTAAATATATTTTATTGATTTTTTACAGAGAGGAAGGGAGAGGGATAGAGAGTCAGAAACATCGATGAGAGAGAAACATTGATCAGCTGCCTCCTGCACACTCCCCACTGGGGATGTGCCCGCAACCAAGGTACATGCCCTTGACCGGAATCGAACCTGAGACCCTTCAGTCTGCAGGCCAATGCTCTATCCACTGAGCCTAACCGCTTAGGGCTAAAAATATATTTTAAATAAATAAGTTGAACTTCCTCAAAAGGAACAAAGTCCTGTTCATCAGTGGCACCGTGAGGAAGTGAAAGGCAAGAAGCAGGGTGGGAGAAGATGGTACCTGGACCTGAAAATGTAACGCATGCCCCACGTCAATAATGAATCGGCCCCGGGTCGCTCAGGTTAGAGCCTCATTCTGACTCGCCCAGATTGTGGGTTTGATCCCTGGTCAGGGCACATACAGAAAGCAGCCAACGAACACACCGATAGTGGAACTGTTGTAGGCGGTGGGAACGGCCCAGGTGTTCTACTGGTGGGGTCAGACCACACCTGGGGTTCAGCAGCCTCAGTTCTTGGGTTCTTGCTGGGAAAGAATTAGAGCCAAGACCCAAACTGTAGGGGAGCATTTAATAGGTCAATCACCGAGGCAGGAAAGTAATTCCTAGAAGAAATGGGCTGAGGAAACGAGTTATGGGGGTAAAGGAAGGGCCCTTGGGGCTTGGGAGGGGGGAGGGTCGGGGAAGGGGAAGGCGGGGGCTCCCGGTGGGAGAGCACACCACACTGAGTCCTCCAGCTGCAGGGTGTTATGTGGAGACTTTGGGGGCAGTCCCAAGAGATCGAAATAGACCAGCGGCTCTCAACCTGTGGGTCGCGACCCCTTTGGGGTCTAAGACCCTTGGAAAACACATATATAATTACATATTGTTTTTGTGATTAATCACTATGCTTTAATTATGTTCAATTTGTAACAATGAAAATACATCCTGCATATCAGATATGTACATTACGATTGATAACAGTAGCAAAATTACAGTTATGAAGTAGCAACGAAAATAATTTTATGGTTGAGGGTCACCACAACATGAGGAACTGTATTAAAGGGTCGCGGCATGAGGAAGGTTGAGAACCACTGCCCCAGACTAGTCATTTTTCCAGGTGCGTCCGTTCAGGGTTGTGGCCCCCACTGATCGACTGGCCGGCACCGGGCAGCGGGTCATTATTCCGTGCAGCTGGTCCTGACCTCAGCCGTGGCTGCCTTTGTTGCTTATCTGGGCCTGGAGCTGAAATACAACTGAGGCCTAGATGTCATCTCTAGGGAGGAAAGGTCCGGGGTCCAAACAGCGCGACCAGCAGTGACATGCTGGGGGCGAGGTCCCACCCCACAATGTCCTTTGCTAGGCCCTGGGGCTTCCTGCCCTGGTGACCTGTTCCTGGCCTGTCTTCCTTGCTCTGTTCATGTCTGTCTAACTGCCTGTTACAGACCAACAGATTAATGTTCCTCCTTCTCTCTCTCTCATCAAATTTTTTTTATTTTTTATTTCTTTTATTATTTTTTTTTATTTTTTTATTTTTTTATATATTTTATTGATTTTTTACAGAGAGGAAGGGAGAGAGATAGAGAGTTAGAAACATCGATGAGAGAGAAACATCGATCAGCTGCCTCCTGCACATCTCCCACTGGGGATATGCCCGCAACCCAGGTACATGCCCTTGACCGGAATCGAACCTGGGACCTTTCAGTCCACAAGCCGATGCTCTATCCACTGAGCCAAGCCGGTTTTGGCAAATTTTTTTTTATTTTTAATAAAAAAGTAATAAATTAAGAGGCGGGAGGACTTAAATGACTATGGAACAAGAGAAGATCACCAGGTCACCAGTAAGTACGTGAAATTGTGTTCAACTTCCTTTCCCATCCAGGAAATGCAAAGCAAAGGGCCACATCGCTAGACGCTCAGCAGAATGGCTAAAATAGAAATTGCATGAGCCGCTGTCTTTGTTGGATTTGCAAACATGGCCTGTTCAGGAAGGAACTGAGCCGGGCCACTGTACCCATCACATCCTGGAGGTCCCGCCACAGGGACCGGAGGCCATGCTGCGGGCTGAGAGCGGGTTTGTCCTGAAGGGGCCAGGGCCTGGGGTAGAGACCCAGGAGAGTGCTGGGAGCAGTCAGACTTGGGGGGGACCTGAGCCGTCTGAGACCGGTCAACCCTAGGGCAAAGGCTGATGTTGAGGAAAGAACTGGAGCTCCTGGTGGGAACCTGAGAACAAGGGGGTGGGCGCTGTCCTTCCAAACTACTCCATACAGGTAGGGGGGTGAGGAGAAAGAATTGGCAAGTTCCTGTCGGGAGAGGGAGGAGGGCCACAGAGGACAGAGTGTGCGGAGGGAGGCACAGAGATAAGATGAAGCTGTGCAGACAGGCAGTGCCGGGCAGGCCTCTGGACACAGCCGAGCAGCAGGGACACTGCCTGAGTGGACAGGTGACACAAAGAAACAGGGAAGTGGCCATCACTCAGGACTCTTGCCCCAGGGTAAGGGCTATGCCCTCCATCTTACCCTGGATCCTCCATTTTTGGGCAGCCATGTGCTCGGCAAGGAGCTTCTTCCCGGAAGCCCAAGCCTCTGCCACCCACACCCAGGATTTCTTTAAACTAACCAATGACAATCAAGGGAAGTGCGGGCCATAGATATGACCACATCCTGTGTAACAAGACACCGACTTGCGCCTGGCCAATCAGCAGGGCCCACAGTCATCTCTCTTCCCCTTACTCCAACCGCCCTATAAAACCCCTCTCCACACAGAGTTCTTTCTCTCTGCCGCTTGCTGCTGCGTCGGTGAGTGTGGTCGGGGAGCCGAGCTAGCTCGAATAAAGACTCTTTGCTTTTGCATCAGACTCAGCTGGCTCCCTGGTGGTCTATTGGGGATCCTGAAATCTGGGCATAACAGTTCCGACTACATGGATGGACCTAGAGGGTATTATGCTAAGTAAAATAAGCTGGACAGAGAAAGACAAACACCACATGATCTCGCTTATATGTGCCACCTGAAAAAACCAAAATAACTAAATGAGCAAAACAGACACGGAGATACAGAGAACAGACTGCTAATTGCCAGATGGGAGTGTGACAGGGCAGTGCTGGGTGAAAAGGGTGAGAAGTACAAACTGGTAGCTACAAAGGAGTCACGGGGATTTCAGTACAACACAGGCACATAGTCAAAAATATTATAATAAATATTACAGTCAGGGGATCCCTGCATAAATTACATAAATATCTCACCACGATGCTGTATATCTGAAACGAATATAATACTGAATGTCAACTGTAATTGAGAAAAAACCTTTTTTAATTAAAAATTACCCCCCAAAAGTGCACTGTTGACACCACAGAGTTGAAACAGGTCTTTTCACCCATGGGGCAATCTGTTCTCTCTGGAAGTGGGCACAGGGGGGTCCCCTCCGTGCGGGGAATATTTCATTTCCTCCTCCGGTGGCCGGCGGGTCCCTGTCCGACTTGCGTTGCGAGAGCGCATCTCTCTGCCCCAGCACAGTGCATTGTCCGCGTGTGTGTCTGCCTTTACAAGTGGACACTGAGCAGGGCTCGGGGTGCGCCCCACCTTCGCGCTCCATAGAGGCTCAGAGGCTCCGAGGAACCAGAAGAGGCTGTAGCGCGAGGAGATGCCAGGCAGCATCTGGCTCCCGTGGTCACACTAACCCCACTAGAGGCGCGTGTGAGAGCTGGAGGCGGCTGGCTGTGGCTCACTGGTCTCCAAGCTGTGCCGGATCCCGTATCCAAAGTATATGGCGAAGCCTGGGACGGACACGGGACCATGAGAAGGGACAGTGCCCCCTGGGCCTCCTGTTACGGCACCTGAGACGGCCGGGTGGGAACGGTGGTAGGAAGGAGGTTGGGTTCGGTGCCCCAAGAGGCCACTTACCAATCGCCATCCAGATGCCAAACTGGGCCCAGGTCGTAGAGGTCATCTGCATCATCAAGTACATGTTCACAAAGATGCTGACCAGGGGCAGGACAGGCAGGGCGGGGACCTGTGGGCAAAGCCAGGTCATCGCTGAGCACACCAGACGCTGCAGAGGGACACCCTGCCCCCGCCCACGGGTGGGAAGGGAGAGCTCAGTCCTGCTCAGGCCACGCCCTCGATGCCAACTCAGAGCATGCTCCTGAGCAGAGTGTGGGTCGGGGAGCAGTCCATTCGTTGTGGCCCCTCCCCCTGCCTTCCCTGGTCCAGCGAGGCAGGCAGAGTTCATTCCCTCCAGGCAGGTAGACTGGGGTCCCCAGGTCACCCACCTTGAAGCTAAGAGGAGCTGGGCTCTGGGGCTGCCTCCAGAGGATGAAAGTGAGCCCCACAATGAGCAGCAGCAGCAGAGCAGTCACCGCCGTGGCCATTGGGTCCCCGGAGACCAGACGGCCGGGCCACTGGGCCAGGACCAGGCTCAGGACGGTCAGCAGGAGAGCTGCCAGGGGCGGGTGGAGGAGAACAGGTCAAGGTCAGAAGCCAAAGGGGTCAAGGGCTTGGGTCACATCCCACCCTCAGACTGCCCACCCCAACATGGGCCATCACGCCCTGGCCGGGGTCACTCATGGTTAGAGCGCCAGCCCGTGCACCTCAGGGTCA